GGCCTGCAGAAGATGCCGAGAACAGCCCTAGCACTGTGTACATGCTCAATAAATATGAGTTGAGTGAATGGCTAGAGAGCTCTGCCACAGCTTCTGGTGCTTCTTAAGAGCTCAGCTTTGACTGGGCCTCGTCCGTCTTAGGTCAAGTCTTGATTCCCAGTGAAGGGTCTCGAGTGGGCCCAGCCTGGGTCGGGGCCCATTCCTGAACCGTTCAGTTGAAGTTGGGGGGCACGATCACACCATAATTACATGGCTGCCAGGAGCCCACCCCATGGCCATGGGGATGGAGGAGACTATTCATGTGTGGGCGGGACAGATACCTACAGATGCATCTACAGCAGCGGTGAAGGATGCTGTAAGGATAAAGGGCCAAAGTGATGAGCCTCAGGTGCAATCTGATGTCAGATCCTTGGACTGGGAAAGCTGGACGTGCCTGGAGGTCATCTAGTCCAGCTCCTCACTGTTTGCACAAGAAAAATGAGACTCAGACGTGAAAAGTTGGCTTAGGTCCATTATACTTTATGGCATTTCTGACAAGAGGAAAACATCTTAGCATTTGGTGTTTGTTGATTAAATCAGCACAAGTCTTGGAATCTATTTACAATACTATTTATAACTGTTGTTTATATTTTCTTCTTCTTAATTATGCTACATACTGTGGTTTGATTTTTGTCTAACATTCGCTAAATTTGATCCATAAGGTCTAGTGAGATGGATTTTGGTAGGAATCGTGAAACAAAAACTTGGTTTTGGCAGGCGACGAACTTTGTTTGCCTGTGAGCAATTATCAAGAGCCTCTTGTGTGCTAGTCACTCTTGTGGGGAAGGAAGATACAGAGACAAAGTAGCCATCCTACCTTCCATGGCATAGCTTACATTGGAGAGCTTACAGTTTGTTAGGGAGATGGACAAGAACATTGAGGGTTGAGGGGACGAGAGATAAGTGGTATCTGGGTGGGGTGTGAGGACGCAGAGAAGGGGGAGCTCAGTGTGTCCAACCAGTAGGAGTGAGGAACAAAGTGATGAAATGCCGGGCTACATGAAAGGAATTCCAGGTAGCTCCAAATGGTTGGGTCTAAGAGCAGCCTGTAAAGAGTGGAAGAAGGTAAGATAGAGAAATAAGCAGAAGGCAGATCACGAAGGGCTGGAGGCTTGACATTCGACCAAAAACAATGAGGTTCCATGGAATGTTTTTTAGGAATTTATAACCAGTGTATGTGTTATAAAGATCACCTGGAAGCACTGAGAGAGGGGGTGGGGGAACAGGGCCAGACTAGCATCAGGTTGGGGAGAGAAGGTGAGAAGATGAGAGTTGGGGTGAGGTAGGGGCCGAGGGAATGAGGGCAGTGATGCAGCGCCGGAGGGTCCCACAGGACCGGGCATTGATGGGATGTGGAAGTAAATGAGAGAACATTGTCCAGGGTCAGTCACCCAGTCAGGGATGGCTGGATGGCAGGTGTTAACGTTCTCTCTGACTTGGAAGCAGGAATGGAGAAGAAAATAACTTGCATTTTAGAGTTTAGGTGCCTGTGAGACAGCTTTGCAGCTCAGCAGAGCTGAGGGGCCACTGGCCCATGTGAGGCCCAGACCGTGGACAGGATAGGGCCACCCAGGGACGGTGTTTGCGAGAAGAGGCCCAAGCAGTCAGGAACACAGTACGTGATGGGGCAGGTCAAGCAAGAGGAGAATCCATGAGGAAGAAGAGAAACTGAGAGGGCTTAGAAGGCAGACAGGATTGGGGAGGAAGTTTCTGGAAAGCGGAAGCCATCCACTGCAGCAAATGCAACCGTTAGGCTGGGCTGATGGCAGAGTGACTCTGGCAGATGGCAGCCTTTGCGATGAGATTAAATAAAGACCCACGAGGAACCTGGTAATTGGCTGACGTTGCTGAAGAACTAAAAGTACAGAGTTTTAAGAGATGAAAGCTAGTAAAAATGCTTTCAGTTTGAAGAATCTGTGTATAAATGAGAGCATGTGGAATGTATCCCACTCTGGTATGAGACAGACCTGGATTTCTGTCTCAACGCTACAGCTTATGAATTGGAAAACTTGGGACAAGTCACTTCACCTCTGTAAGCCTCACTGTCTCCATCTGTAAAATGGAGCCTCTACCTACTTCATAGAGTCTAAGATTGTGCAGAGTAACGCTTGCCCCACCCCCTGCTTTATTTTCCTCCGCAACACTTATCACCTTCTTCACTTACCAATTTACTTTTGTATTTTGTCACTCTCCCCAACGAAAATATAAACTCTGTGCAGCAGGGAGTCCTCTCGGGTTCGTTCGCTGCGGAGTCCCCAGTGCCTAGAGCAGTGTCTGGCCCATAGTAGTTGCTCAATAAATATTTGTGGACTGGATGAATAAATGAGTAAAAGGTTGTGCTAGACCTGAAGTGTTTGGCGGCAGTGGCAGTGCTGTTACTTCCTCCTGTTGGGAGAAAAGCCATTACCAAGCCACCTTCAAAGTCAGCATGGCGGGTCTCAGGGCCCAGTGCCCTTTGGGCCAACGCTCCCATTACGCTGTCTCCCTCCTACGAGGCCCAGCCTATCGTTAGAGGGCGGGGGACCTGACCCTTGCCTGTGCTGGGGACAAGTAAGTCACACATGTAGAGAAACAGATTGGAGGAGAGTCAGCAGCTGGGTTCTTGGAACGCCTGGAGAACTCCAGAGAAACGGGGAGCAGAGGAAACCCTTCTCATAGAAACCAGTCAGGACATCAAAGAGTGCTCTCGGGACCACAGCTGCAGAGAAGGTGTCGGCAGCCCCTGCTTCAAAGGCTGGATGGATGGTGGGGAGAAACTATCTTCTCTGACCAGAACCTGACGTCTTAAAATCCCAGCCAGCGAAGGTTTAGAAAATGAAAGAAAGAGCAATGAGTCTGACTTGCTTTATTCATCTGTGTGTTTGTGACGGCAGTAATGACGCTTAAATCTTTCATCATCCAAGTGCCTTACACCATGAACCCACATACAAGTGGGACTCGGCCGAATGTGGCTGGTTATAAGGAATGTGTTATTCTGATGGAAAAGACTGGAAAGGCTCCACTTCCCAATAGCCTGCCGATTTGACATGTTCTAAAAGGAAATCTGGTATCAAAACATAAATCTAAACAGAAACCAAAATGGCAAACAGCAACATGCATTAATGGGGCCCGTTAATTTGTACCACAATCAACATTCCCTCAATTCGTTGGCCAAAGGGTATTGTTCTTTGTTGTTGCTGTTCATTTCTTTTTTCCTTTTCATCTTTCAATACATCCTTCCGAGATTCTCACAATGTACTTCAGAGTCCAGACTCTCTTATGGAAAGCATATGTCTTTGGGAACGTACTGTACCACTTGCAGTTCTGGAGCCAGTTGTATTTCTGTCCCAGCATTAAGTGAGAAACAATTGTTTGTAGGGTTGGAAGGAACCCCGGTTAGTTACTCAGCTAGGAAGAACCACACGTAAAGCAAAGAGAGAGTGTCTAAAAGATCTCAAAGAAAAGAAGAATATCTCCAGTTACCCTGTGGACCTCATTCATTCATTCATTCATTTTATTCATGCAACATTTGTTGAAAGTTTATCATGAGCTAGCTCTACGCTCAGACCCCAAAATACCGAGATAAATATCAATCCCTACCCTCCAGTAGCTTACAGCCTAGGAGAGGAGATAGACAGGTCTGTCAAGGTCGCAGTCCAGTGTGACAAGGCCAAGGCAGAGGTATCTGTCAGATTCGGGTCATGGGGCAGGAGTTGAGAGGTGGTTAGGGGGAACTTTTTAGAGGCGAGGGTGCCTTTGAAAGAGAGTAAAAAGGAAGGAGGTACAGAAGGGGAGGCAGGGGTACTTTACACAGAGGAAACTGTCCATGCCACATAAAACGAGATGACGCAGGGGAGAAAAGCCATTACCAAGCCCACTTCTCACCGAACCGTCCCGGGCTTCCAGGTAGGGCTCAAACACACTGTCTTCAGGAACGCCCTCTCGTCCCCTTCAGTTAGTCACTAGGTCTATATGTTGGCCTTGCACATTTCCTGAGAGATTACTGGGAGACATTCTCATTTTAGTTGTTTTTTTTGTTTGTTTGTTTTTGTTCTTTTGGGTTTTTTTGCGGTACACGGGCCTCTCACTGTTGCGGCCTCTCCCGTCGTGGAGCACAGGCTCTGGACGCGCAGGCTCAGCGGCCATGGCTCACGGGCCCAGCCGCTCCGCGGCACGTGGGATCCTCCCGGACCAGGGCATGAACCCGTGTCCCCTGCATCGGCAGGCGGACTCTCAACCACTGCGCCACCAGGGAAGCCCTCATTTTAGTTGTTTTATAATACTTTGCCTCACTGGTGAAATCATGAGGCACCGGGAGGAATTCTCCACGACCTCCAGTGCAGTGCTGCACGTGGAGCAGGGCCTCAGCTCTGGCTGAGGCCAACCTCAGCTGACTGAGGCTGGTTTGCAGAAGGTAAGGGCGTGAAGTTTGCACTCGAGGTTGGGTGCAGGGCTCTTGCATCTTTGCCCACCCTCCACCGCCCCCTCCTAGGGCTCTAACCATCCGTCAATTCCACAGACATTTACTGAGCACCTACTCTGAGCCAGAAACTGTGCTAGGCATGCCGGGCATTTAGCAGTGAAGCCGGCAGACAAGATCACCGCCTCGTGGAGCTTGTGTTCCATTAGAGGAGACGGCCGTCAGGGGAGAGACGTTGACCCCAGGCTGTGACACGTGCTTGGAAGGAGATGCACGGAGCTCTGTAAGGCAGGAGCACGCTTATGCTGAGACCTGCAGACCGAACAAGAGGGGAAGTTGCCCTCAGTCTTCTCTGCGTATTTAATAGTGCCCACTCCTGTAACTTTGCTTTCAGTAAAATATTTATTGAAAGGGCTGTAGGAAGGTGACATGCTGTGCGTGTTCCTGGTCAGTGCGCTCACAGACCACTAACACATCCGACCCCTAACAGATCCCACCCTCTCTGAGGGTTGTTCATCTCACCTGAAGACGCCTCTGACGCCGGCGGTGGTTTCTTTTGCAGGTGAGCCGGCCTCATCCCAGCGACCACCCTCTTCTGATTCTCTTCGTGGTGGGCGGGGTCACAGTCTCGGAAGCCAAAATGATCAAAGACCTTGTGCCATCCCTGAAGCCAGGAACCCAGGTACCGAGTCCTCAGTGATATGATCTGAACGGGAGGCCTGAGGCAGGAGTGGGGAGGGCAGACCAGGGCCTTCATTAGGCTCCCCCGCGCTCCTATCTCCATCCCGCTGCCTCCTTTCCCAGGGCCAGGACCTACTGTCGGTGGAGGGAAGGGGGAGACCTCTCCTACCTCTGAGTGGCAAGTGCTGAAGCGCTATTCCCAGTTCCTACAGGGCTTGTATTCTCTGGCATCCAATCGGTGCTTAATTACTCAAGAGTTTTGGCTGCTTTCCAGGCTCCAGATAATTGAGGGTGACTCCCGGGGACCATCTCCGCCCTGTGGCAGGGAGAGGACGGGGCTGGAGGAGTTTGGGAAGGCCCCTTGTCATGACAATGACAAGTGTAGTATCTTTCTCCTCTGTAGCCTCCTGCCAGGTCCCGTCCTCCTCCCCACGCAAATGCCCGGTGGTTAAGACACAGCCCTCTAGGTTTTCCAGGCCCGAGTCTGCATCCTCCCTCCGCCTTTTACTAGCTAGGTGATTGGAGTGAGAAAAGCCCTCCGTTTTCTCATTTAGGCTACGGGGCAGGGTGGTTGGGAAAAGAGTGCCTTGCCCAGCTGCTTACTGCTATGGGCAACCGAGGCTCTGTCCTCTGGGGGCTGAGGGGCCTCAGAACTGTCCTGCTGGGGCAACGGGAGCCTGGGACACCTTCCCATTGACCCTCGCCCCCCGCCCAATTGAGACTTGCTTTCGGGGCCTGTCTTCAGCTTTGCCATGTCTGCATGCAGCCAGCGGCTTTCTGTGGTTTAGAGAAAGCAGAACAGAGATGCCAGTGCAGTGCTTCAGGTAGGACCCTGGCTTACGTGGGGGACTGTCCACCACAGGCACACGGAGCCCAGGGGGTATTCCAGCCACGCCTGGCTGCTGGTCTGGGTGGGGGGCAGTGTACAGTGCCCTTGTCTCCCAGCTCCACCCACTCTGTGTATACGCACTCAGCCAGCCGAGGAGCCCCCACCTCTGCTGGCATCCGTAATCTGTACTCCGTAGTGCAGCACTCAGCGGGCTCACTGACTGCTTCCCGTTGCTGACAAAGCATCCTCAAGCAAACACGAATTCCTTGAGGACAGAGGCTGGGCCTTCCCAGGCCTGAGCACAGGGCAGGAGCTCCGGAAGCCTTGTGGCCTGACGGCCTGATGTGAGGCAGGAGAACTGGCTTGGTGTCAGGGTGGCCTGGACACCTGAGACGTAGAGAAGGCCTGGTTTCCGAGGGTCTCCAGACACCCTACTTAGGAAGGTGACCTGTATCTAGGGAGCCATGGTACGTTCTTGAACAAGGGAGTGGCCAGTCATTGGCTGTGACCATTCCTACCATTACTCACACCTGTCATGGTCATAGCTGGTGGAATTTCTGATAAAGTGGTAAATTCTGCCTCGTCTCACACCCTCTCTGTCCGCAGTGTTCAGGATCTGTTTGGTGAGCAATTGCCTTTTTGAGCAAGACATTGTTTTTTATCAGAAAGCACACTTCTCACTGCCCCTAACACGGTGGACCAAATTCTTAGCTCTTCCGAACAGCGATGCATTGTTAATAGCCTGCCAGACTGTTAATCCCCACTCTAAAAGGATAAAATGCAGACGTTTTCAAAGCCGTGTGACCTGAGTTTGACAGCAGAGACCTGACATCTGTAGTGGCTCAGTGGCTCGGCTGCAGTCTGACTGACCTTGTGCTCGATCATCTGCAGAGAGAGTGGCTCAGAGAACCTGGGGCTTCAGAAGCAGCCTTGCCTGCTGCTGTGTCACCGCTGCTGCCTCTAACTCCTGGGCCACACAGAATCTACGAGCAGATCAGCCTCTTCCCTCCTCCACAGGTCTTCCCCCAGGGCCACTCTTCTCCAAACCGAGTATCTTCAGTTCTTCCAGCTTCCCCACCCCAGCCCGTGCCGTGGACCCGAGTGCCTCAGCTCCCGGGCAGCTCTCCTGGGCCACCAGGTCTCTCCCTCTCATGCTCACTTACAACTGAGCGCCCTTGCCATGGGCTGATCAGTGCAGAGGCCCTGGGGCCCCCTCCTCCTCCTACCACGGCCCCTCCCTGCTGCTGGGCCTTCTTTTCCTACCACCCTTCTGCTGGCCTGCTCCTCTCCAGCCTCAGGACTTTGCACTTACTTTAATCCCTCAAACAGGACCTGGCACCAGCTGTCATGATTATTCATTGCATATTGAATACTAGAAACCGTACTTGCATTATTGAAGCATAAGATAAAAGCAGCTTTTCTGTAGACTACGCCAACCTGTTACTGATTCTGGGATTATGGACAGCTAAAACCACTCTGTCTTTTGTATCAATTGCTATGATCCATACCTACTGTATATCAACATGGGTGCTTTTTGGACCCAGGTGCAGGAACTTAAGTCTTAAACTGGATTAGTCAATTATCCAGTAAACATTTATTGAGCATCTACTCTGTGCCAAGCACTGTTCTTTGTGCTGAGGATAGAGCGGTGACCAAGCCAGACTCGTTCCTGCTTTCATGGAACTTACATTCTAATAGTAAGTGATTGACTGACATTAAACACAGAAGCTCCAGCTAGACATGAGTGTTCCGGGAACATAGGCAGGTGCTGTGATGGGAATACCTGGGGGCTTGGAGGCAAGAGGTTCCTTCATACGGCACCGGCTTCCCCTGGAGCAGAAGGCTGGTGAGCTGAGATTTGCAAGGCATCCGGGGATCTGCTCTTCAAAGGAAACTGCTGATAGAAGTCACTTAAGGCACATCCAGAAATGAATTCTCTTTTACAAAAGATGGTAAGGATAGCATGAAACAGTGGAATCCAGAAACCGCATTAGCAGCTGCTAGTCCTAGAGGATGGTTGCTATACTCTAAAATGGGGTGTTTTCTCCGCTCTCCATCTGTGGTGCTTGGTAAACGTGCTGAGAGAAAGTGGGCAGCTGGAGAAGGCCCTCCTTCCTGACTACAAAAAAAAAAAGGATCAAAGAGGCAACCTCTCAACCCCACTGCAAACAGCCACAGCCATGAGCAGGAGAGTTCGCGGGCTTGCCCTGGTCTGGGGTGCGTGTGCTCAGCACCAACCTCTCTCATTCCAGACAGCTCTGCAGGCTGAACCCCGTAGCTGGGTCGTGGCCAAGAGGCCAGCAGAAGCCTGCGATTGTGGGAGGAAAATAACAGGGAGGGACCCCTCCGTAAAATACAGGGAAAGGCCAGCTCAGGAAACAGAGGAAGGCCGAGTGACCAAGCCGACCCTGCCATCACGCTCTTCATGGGCTGGTACACGTTGCCCAGCCACACTCTCATGTGCATCTCCATTTCTGGAGCTGAACATTTAGTGAGAATGTAGGAGGAAAAAAAAATTAGACCCGGAAATATGCTCATACGCGTACAATTTTGCACAACTGTGGAGGTTCAAGGATACCTAAATCCTGGATGTATACCATAGCTCCAGGTTATTCTAAAATTTGAAGCCCCAAAGAGAAGAGTCAAGCCACTTCCTTTTCTTTTCTTGGTCTACATTTAATTTGTTCTGAAGTTTCTTACTCTAAGGAAAACGTCAGTGAGATTCAAAATTTTTATGTTTACCTGAGTTAGCTTAGGCCCTTATCATTTGAACTATTAGACGGCATTACATATGTTCATATTGTTCCTCTTAATATTACCCTTCATTCCTACGCACTTCATGTGTCTTTGATACTTGCAGCAATCCACGTAACAACGCTGAAGTCATTTACAATGGAAGGTTTTTGTTCTTGTTGTTTTCCCTCAAGAGACTTCTTTTTGAACAACCATCATGAGGGACAAAAGCGAAGAGGCATCTGAAATCTCATCAGGTTCCTCAGGAGAGCCTAAGCACAGCACACTCACCCCTCAGGCAATGAGAAGGCAGTGAGTTTTCCAGAAAGCTCGTCATGTCTGTTTAATTAATCCACTGCCCCACTGTTTTAACGATACAAACATTTTATGTTTAACACACGTGTGTACGTGCGTGTATACATGCAGCACCTGTGCTAATGGGGGTGAGTGGTGCCTTGAATCTGACATGTGCTCCAAAACCAGTTCATCAGCTGGATGAATATGCGTGTTGGTACCTGTGTGTATTAGTCGCTTTTACTGGGAAGCATCTCCCAAGGTCAAAAGAAAAATAGAGAAAAACTATTTTTTACCCCCCTCTCCTTTCACTTCACAATGTTAGAAACCAGAGGGATATGGAGTCTAAATCCTGGGTTGCCGGCTTCCCCCTGTTCAGCAGAAATGGAACAGGAAGATGCTGGCACACACAAGTTACGGCCCGGAGAAGCAGAAGGTGGAGAGAAAGCTAGCAGGCTGGGTCACTCTTGCAGGAGCCAGGGTGGGCTGAGGACAAAGACAAGATGCCCCTCCTTCAGCTGGAGTAGAGAGCCTGTTAGACCTTCGCGGTCTCCTAGGAGTTTCGACTCGCCCAGGAAACAACAAGAGTCGGAAGCCGATGCAAAACGCAAGAGGTTTATTGAAGGCCGGTGCACCGGGGTTCCTTGGTCCTCACGCAGGAGGTCGAAGAAGGAACCCTTTTGGGCGCGAATATGTCAGTTTTATAGGTTCCCACTTCCCCGTATGTAAATTATAGATTTGGTTGTGTTCTCCTGCTGATTGGTCCCGGCTTAGGCTCGGACCAGAGAGGGAACTTGTCCCTAGCTGCCTGATTGGTCTTTGACAGACACCTTTTTTACATTTTGTTATCTCCCTCCTTCTCCCCAGCTGCCTGATTGGTCTTTGACAGACACCTTTTTTACATTTTGTTATCTCCCTCCTTCTCGGAAGGGGGCCGGACATCCTGGAAATTTACCCATTGTCTAAGAAGCCCCTACTGTCTGGAGAGTTCTTAATCATTAGCTGGAACAATGTCCCTCGAGCCCCACAAGCCTGTGTGGAGCCCCAAAGGCAGCTTTTTAGGGCTTGGTTCAGAGGCACCCTGGTGTCCTTCACCCTTGCCTCCCCGATGGAAATTTTCATCAGTGCCCTTGGTTGCCTGGGAAAAAGCCAGTCCTCCGAAAGGAGCTCTAGTGCTTAATTTACCTCATATCACACATTTGATGACTATGTTCATAAAATTTAAATTTCATATCCAACAGGCCAATTTCAGATTGCTTTAAGCATTTTCTTTTTCATTTTTGAGTGCCATTTCCCCCCATTTAGCTAACTTTTTATAATTTTAAGGACTATTTCAGTCAAATAAGGCAGAAATGCTTTTTGTCGAATACGCTCAAAAACAGAAAATGCTCAAAAGCGTTCTGAAGAACAAAAGACGCCTAAGATGTGAAAATGCTTAAGGACCATCAGCTATTATACTATAAAGGAAATGTTAGTGATGTGATCCTGCTTGTTCTTCAAAATCGGAATTTTAGACAAGTGGGTTTTCAGCTGAACTGATTTGAAACAAATTTACGCAGAGCTATTTGAGATACCAGAGCCTGCTGGTGTGAAAAACTTCCTGCTGGCTAAACTCACTGCCTCCTTCCTAGTCTTGTTTTTGTTCATTCATTTAATCAGTCATTGGCTAACTCACTATATCGAGGACCTGCTAGGTATCAGGCACTGTGCCAGCACACAACAAAGAAACAAGGAATACAATGTGATACCAACAGCCATGGGAACATCCTCAGTCTTCAGAGAGGGGTGGTCTGGGAGGGCTTCTGGGAGGTGGTGATGCCTGAGTCGATTATTGAAGGATGATTAAGAGGACTTCAGGCAAAGAGTTGGTAACTCCTGTTCCAGATGAAGAAGCATCCCCAAAGTGCCATTTGTGAAACTGCAGATCATTTAGGGTGGCTGGAATGTGGAACCAGTGGTGAGGGGTGTGTGGTGGCCAGGGGGTGTGGTGGGGTGTGGAGTACTGAACAGCCATCAGTCTCTAAAGTCCTGGAATGCTCTCTAAGACGGTTGGACTGACAGATTTTTGGTTTGCGGTTACCATGAGGTTTTGATACAGCAGTCTATATACATACAAGATTGTTTTAAGTTGCCGGTCTCTTCATTTCAAGTGCATTTCCAACATCCTGCATTTTGATATCATATTTGTGTCTGGAGGATTTCCTACCTTTACTGTATGTTTGCCTTTACTCCTGAGCTTTCCCATTCATAATTTTCCCTTTTCTAGTTGTGGCCTTTTCTTTTCCCTCTAGAGAAGTTCCTCTAGCATTTGTTACAAAGCTGGTCTGATGGTGCTGATTTCTCTTAGCTTTGTCTGTAAAACTTTGGATTTCCCCATCCAGTCTGAATGAGAGCCTTGCTGGGTAGAGTATTCTTGGTTGTTTTATCACTTTAAATATATACTGCCACTCCCTTCTAGCCTGCAGAGTTTCTGCTGAAAAATCAGCTGATAATCTTGTGGGGATTCCCTTGTATGTTATTTGTTGCTTTTCCCTTGTTGCTTTTAACCTTTTCTCTTTGTCTTTAATTTTTGTCAGTTTGATTAGTATGTGTCTTGGTGTGTGCCTCTTTGGTTTTATCCTGTATGGGGCTCTCTGCGCTTCCTGGACTTGAGAATGTTTCCTTTCCCAAGTTAGGGAAGTTTTCGGCTATTATCTCTTCAAATATTTTCTCAGGCCCTTTCTCTCTCTCTTTTCCTTCTGAGACCCCTATAATATGAATGTTGGTACATTTTATGTTGTCCCAGAGGTCTCTTAGACTGTCCTTATTTCTTTCGTTCTTCTTTCTTTATTCTCTTCCCCAGCACTGGGTCAGGCTTATAAATGGTGGAGAGAAGGCAGTCAGGATTTTAAACTATGAATAAATACAGTCAGATTTACACTTGGGGAAGATGGCTCTGGCACGTTTATCTCCTCTGAGTCCACCCCAGTGACTGCTGTGAGCTGAATAGAGGGAATGCAGCAGAGGATGAGAATAGTGAAGATGGTGATGATAATGGAGACGATAACAGCAGGTACCATGTTAAGCCCCTCCAGAGCCTGTCATTGTGCTAAGTATTTTCTATGTATGTTCACATTTGATCCTCATGATAATCGTGTGAGGTGGATATCACTATTCCCACTTTATAGATGAGGACTTGAGGCTCAGAGTGATTAAGCAAATTCTCCAGGGTCCATCGTCTGGCAGGTGGCCAGCTGGGGCCCAGCTCAAACTGGACACTCCTAAGTCTGTGCTCTTAACGACTGTACTATCCGGCGAGAGTCCTTGGTCCCAGCTTCCTCCTTTCCTCCCCTCCTCAAAGACCCCCTCAGTTACTTCACAGGCTGCCTTTGTTTTCCATCTGCTTCTTTTCAGCCCTCCACAGGGCATGCCCCAGACACCCTCAGGTTTAGCCCTCATGCTGTCTAAATACCCATATGTCTAGATGTGAGGGTCCTGGTCCTTGGTTCCAGCTTGGTGGAGGTGACCGAACCCATAGTCACTGTCAGCCGTGACTGAAAGCCCAGCACATGGCCTGAGAGTGACAGATTCTTTTAGCTTAGTTATCACTGCTCTAGAAGTGTCCACATCAACCGAGTCTACAGCCTTTCCCCTCCAAGTTCCTCAACCCTGTTAATAAGACTTAACCATCCTGTGGGACTCACTCTAGCCATTACACTTGCCCTCACCTCAGCCAGAGAGGAATTCACCGTCTTGGCATTGGAACTAAGGACCCCAGGGGCTGGCAGCGGTGGTGGAGCCTGGCGAGCAGGAGGGCAGGGGAGGGGCTGTGGCCATCAGCTTCCCTGGCCTCTCCTACCTCTCAAGAGTCTATTCTTATGCAAAGGATTTTTGTCTTTATGTGTGCATTTTTTTAAATATCTGAATAAGGGATTCTTAACTTGTCTGTGAGTCCTAGTTATCCACCTAAACCTCACCTAAAACTATATTCAGAATCTTGTGTGTACACATATGCATATTTTTCTAGAGAGTTTTTAGCTTTCATAAGATTCAAAAGGAGGCCTATGACGCAATCACAAAACACAATCAAATAGCAGCTCAGAATTGCTGAGCACCTCACGTGCTCTACGCACTTGGCCTTCTGTAATCCTTGCCACAGTGCTACAAGCTCGGGGCTGTTGTTTTTCTTCTGGGAAGGATAGAGTGAGGCCCCAGGTGAAGTGACCCTCCCCAGGGCATGTAGCCCATGCGCGGTGGAGGCGGGCTCTACTAGCATCTGGTGAGCGTGCAGGTCTGGGCACCGCCATTCTCAACCATCTGTTGGACCTGGCCCAGAAGCCCCCGAGGAGTGAGTAGAGACCCTGTCCTCTCTCTCCAGAGCCACATATTCAAATGGTATCTACACCATGTGATAAGGGGGTGCTAATATTCACTGTCTGCCCTCAGACTCTCATCACATGGCTTTCTAGGAAAGATGTGAGCACAGATTGCAGTGTATTTTTTTCTGCCAGAAATATGACTTGGCTGACATTAGCCATATATTTTCAAGGATAATTCTCTTTCAAAAAATAGTAACGTCAATGCTTTCAAAGATTAATTTCTGTTTTAAACAGAAAACTTTTTAATAACCTCATTTCTTTAACAACAACAAGCACAAGAAAATTATAAAATGCTTCCTTCCCTCCTCCCCTCCCTCAGCTTCTCCTCCACATTGGAGCGTAGGCTCTGGTTTTGGCCAGTGAGTTGGTTAATTCATTGCTTTGGTTCCACCTGGGATAGCTTTGGGGGTGGGAGGGGTAGAGAGTGAGGTGTGAGTGCCAACTTGCTTCCCCGCAAGAGGCCTGGCTAGGCGGTGTGGCCCCTTGAAGCCAGGCCTGCTGCCGGCCTGCGACCCCCCCGCGCTCAGGGGCTAGGCTCTGGCATCTGACTCATACCTCCTTCCCACTTCCCATAGTCACCCCCTTAGCTACTGGGTGTACAACCCCTGCCTTGGCAAAACCTTACCAGCCTGACAGAGCACATCACTGCTCCAGCCCAGCCCTGGGGAACGAGCTCTCCCAGTGCTGCAGAGGGAAATCTGCCCCAGAAGAACGGCCCAGTCTCAGGGAAGCAGAGAGGGACATCACGACGACAGGCCAGAGAGGCCCAAAGGTCCATGTGGACCAGGGAAGTAAGCAGCCTTCCCAGAGCCCTTGATGATAGAGGAGTGACCAGACAGACGCTTGGACGCTGAAGCCAGCCTGCCTGGGTTGGAATCCTGACTCAACTGCTTCTGCTTCCTGTGTGTCCTTGGACAAGTTGCTTAACCTTTCTGTACTTTATTTTGCTTATCTGCAAAATAGGAGTAATATATGTACCTACTTCATAGGGTTGTTATGAAGATTAAATGGATATTAAATGAGATCATCCTCAGTGCCTGGCCCACCATAAGAACTAATAAATATTAGCAGATATCATCATTATTATCATCATTGTTATGGGTCAAACGGTGTCCCTCCCAAAAGATGTTAAAGTCTGAACCCCTAGTACCTGTGAATGTGGCCTTATTTG